GGTTTTCTTATGTGTGAAATGGAGGTGGGGTACCTCATAAAGTAGCTGTATTATGCAGGTTAATTTAGGTCAGCTGCTAAAAACAGTAATTTGTTATATAAAATATTTACTGGCTCTATGATCTATAATATAATTAGAGCTTTAATAAAAGTAAATTAAGTAGACAGGATTGAATAAACGTTGAAAGACCTATTTGACTCATTATTCACTCATGATAGGACTTAAAGTACTTACTAGTATATTTGTAAAAAGGAAAAGAAGTATCAGATAAGATATGCAAAATGCTGATGTCCCCTTGAGTTTATCATTATGAAAAAAATGAAAATTCTTTTCCAGCTCACCATTATAAGCCTATTGTAAAATGGGCAAAGCCTGGCATATACCAAATATATTGTGATGATTAAGCATCATTAAATAGCTTATAAATATTTAAAAAGAAGACTTAGGTAAAGCTATCATTTTAGTAATAAAGGTTTTAGACTTCTTATGTTAGTAATTGAAATAAAGACTATATATTCATTTCTACATATTGATCTATTTTTCACAAAAAAGGTAATAAAAATAGCAAATTTTCATCAAGGATTATTATTATTAGAAGAACAGAATATTTTAGCTTCATGTCAATGCCTGTCATAAAATAAAAAACACCAAACAAAACTGATAAAGAGTCAAAAATAAAGAAATTGAAATGATCAGAGTAGTTTTTGCCACCATTTTTTCCTCATTTTGGATTTTTAAAATAGCATGTCTGCTATAAAAGAATGAAGGAGAAATTTCTGATAAAGTAACCATATAATATGAACTCTATGGACTTTGTAAACAGTATAAAATAAAATTTTAAAAAATAAACCCCAAAGGAAATGATTATCCCCTTTCTCTCTTAAAAAAAATGGAACCATGTCAGTTAATTATTAATTAGTAGTGATAAGAGTTTATAGCAAAAGAATCCAAATTCCCTCAAAAGTTGCCAAGAAGTTAGAAGCAATAAACCAGTTCAAAGTATGGAATTTAAAATGAACTGTCAGCTTCACAGAGAACAGAGAGCAAAAGCCCAATTCAAGAAAGAAGACCTTAATTGTCCTGGAAGTACTGATTGACATTTCAGAAAACTTTGTCAAGTTGACAACCCTCCCTCAACTAAGTTTTCAAGATTATAAATTCCAATAAGAGTATATTTTCTCTCTCTCTCCAGTGAGTGCTGGTGATTCGAATCACAGGAGACACGCTGCCTTTGTGTAAATGCAGAGCCCATATGGACTATACCACCGGAGATCCCTGCTGCTTGACATTGTTGTTGTTATGTGCCATCGAGTCGCTTGCGACTCACAGCGACCCTGTGTACAACAGCCCTAAACTCTGCTCTGTCCTGTGCCAGTTGCACCGTCTCCAACACACCCATCCCGATTACCCCAGTCACTGAATCAATCCACCTCATAGGGGGCCTTCCCCTTCTGCTCTCTCCCTCCACCCTCCCAAGCATGATGTCCCTCTCCAAGGACCTGTCCCTCCTTATAACATGTCCAAAGTATGTTAGACAGTGTCTTGGAATCCTTGCCTCCAAGGAGGTGCCCGGTTTAACCCTTTCCAGGATGAATCCATTTGTTTTCCTTGCAGTCCATGGTACCCTAAATGCTCTTCTCCAGCACCACAGCTCAAAGGCAATTCTCCTTCTATCCTCCTTAGTCATTGTCCAACTATCTGATGCATAACAAGTGATAGCAAAGACCATGGCCTGTATCAGATGCACCTTAGTTTCCAAAGAGACACCGTTGCTCTTCAGTTCTTTGGAGAGGTCCCTAACAGCAGACTTTCCCATGGCAATACATCTTCTAATTTCCTGGCTCCTGGTGCCAAGACTTGACTGTGCAGCCAAGCAAACTGAAGCTGTGAACAATCTCAGTCTCCTCACCATCCATCCTGATGCTGCCAATTGGCCCAGTGATGAGAATCTTTGTCTTCTTGACATTGAACCTCAATCCATATTGGAGGCCACAGTCCTTGACCCTCTGCAGCAAGCGCTTCAGGTCCTCCTCAGTTTCAGCAAGCAGGGTTGTATCATCTGCATATCGCAGATTGTTGATAGATCTTCCACCAATCCTGACCCCACATTTTTCCTCATAGAGACCAGCCTCCCGGATAATCTGTTATGCATACAAGTTGAAAAGGTATGGAGACAGGACACATCCCTGGGGTACACCCTTCCCAGTTTTGAACCATGCATTGTTTCCTTGCTCTTGACATAAGAGGGCATAAATGATACTTCTTTATGAAGACTGAAGATAGCATTACAATGACGAATGACATTGACATAACTTAAGGGTTTCCCTTCTACTTCATTCTTTCCAAAAGTTTGACTGCAGCACATAATATCCTTGCATGTAATAATTCTTAAAGGAAAGCTTTGGGGAGGAAAATAGGCCACATTTGATTAGTAGGTGATTTTTAATAGAGATTTGCAATTTTTTGAAACTTTTTTTTACAAAATATAGACATTTAAGCCAATGATTTTGAATACTGGATAAATAAGTCTTATTACAGTATATCTGGATTTCATTTTATGGGAGATCCCTTTTATAATGTAGGATTGACAACTTAATAAGACTCAAAAAAGATTCACATCAAGCTAAATTTCCACTGTTGTTACATATAATGTTTAGAACTTTAGTTGACTGTGTAGCTATTTGATATATATTCTATTTGTAGACCCTATTTACTTTTGTCCTTTTTTTATTGCCACGTTTTTGGTTATTGTTTTTGGGAGGGTTTTAAATAAAAATTTTATTTTATACTGGTTTACTTACAGAGTTCGTATACATTCTTTTTCACACCAGATCTTTCCCCTTTCTATCTTGAGCTGAGGCTGCTGAGAATGGAAAAAAGGAATGAACATACTTGTTTGAATAATCAAAAGAATTACATACTTCTTTTATATAATATAGGAAGTTACCAGAGTAAATATCCATTTTCCCATAGATAAATCATGGGCAACAGTTGCAGTGGTATTAACAATAAAGTGCTAGTTTATCCAAATTTTAATAGATATCTCTTTCCTTTTAAATTTAAAATAACTTATGATAGGAGTTGGCAAACTCATTCAGTAAAGGACCAGAAGTAAATATGTTAGACTTTGTGGGCCATATGTTTCTTGCTACAGATTCTGACCTCTGTGTGCAACATGTGGTGAAAAATCACCATAGACAATATAAGTAAATGATCTAGGTTATGCCCCACTAAAATTTTATTTTTCAACACTGACGATTAGATTTCATATCATTTTTACAAGTCACAAAATATTACTGTTCCTCTCCCCCAAGTCGTGTCAGAATTTAAAGATCATTCTTAGATTGTATGCCAGAGAGAAAGAGGCAGCTAATGGGATTTTGTGTATAGACTACAGTGTTTCAACCCCTGTTTTAGGACAGTCTTATCAAACATATACTAATATCGTATCTGTTAATCTAGAAACTTGTAATATGAGTAATCAGAATAATATTCTGAAAATTTGATATAGAAAAGGAAAATACCTCCCAAAAAATCATGGACACAAATATTTTTTTGAATGCTTACTCTATTCATCCCCCCCTGATCAAGACATAGTAAACAACAAAGCACAAAAACATTCTTTCTGTTTATGGAATTTACATTTCAGCTGAGTAGACAAATACAAGTAAAATGAGCAGTATTAGAAAAAGTGTTAAGTATAATGGATAAAAACAACCCAGGAAGGAGAAGAGATCCCACAGGCAAGAAAGAAAATTCTTATACTGGCTTTCAAGGAAGCTTTGTTGATGAGGTGATTGATGTTTAAAAAAACATTTCTAAATAAGGGGAGGCAACAAGCCTTAGAGTAAGAAGAAGTTTCAGACCTAAGGAGTAGCAAGTGGGAGGACATATACATGTTCATCTAACAGGGTAAAGTTCAGCATACTGCTAGTAAAGGGGAAAGTATTAGAGATGAGATTAAAGTAACAGAAGGGGCAGTAACATGAAAAATTGGATCTAACTTAATTTTTAATTGGGAGTAGGTTAAGAGGCTATGAAATAATTGGTTTAAATCAGTGATAAATGTGGAAATAGTAGGAAGTATTTAGATTATAGATATGATAGAGTAAGAAAGAGATAACGTCCATTATTTTCACTTGAGCAGTTGGAAGGATAGAGTTGTCATTTACCAAATGGAGAAGACTGGATAAGGAAAAGATGAGTTTTCTTTTGGTCATAGAAATTTGGACATTCAAGTGGAGATAATATGTTGACAGATACATGAATCTGGAAACAGAGGAGATGTCTGGACTCTTTGATATTCATTTTGAAGTCAGCAATATATAAATGGAATTAAAGTCTATGATAATGGATAAGATCACCAAGGTCTAAGGAGCTCTGGTCTAGTGGCAAGGACCTGAGCTGAAATCCTTTTTCCTGAGGCCACCAGCTGCTCCACAGGAGGATAGACAGTCAGTCTCCTCTTGTGAAATTATCTGCCTCTAAAAACCTGCCCGAGGGTCAGCTATGAGTCGGTTCTGACTTGATGGTATATAAGAACGACAGCTCTTTATTTATTGGTATTACTACCTTCACTACTTTTCTTATCCACTTTCAAAGAGATGGATAATATCTAGTAATCTACTCTTTACTCACTTAAAAGGGTGGAAGGAATCCCACTGAATCATAAACCTGACCTAAACAGGAAGTAATATTATTAGTAGGCCATCCTCAAAGCTTGCCATGGTATAAACATGGGAGTGAGTGTCCCCAAGTACCTCCTTGCTGGAAACTGTTTGCACTGGAGGTAAGTGTGAAAAAGGGGAGGTTGTGGGAAGTGATGGGGTGAGGGCTTCCTAAACCTTACCCAGACCTCAGAAATGGCTTGGTTCTGAGGAAGGGAGAGGTTCAGGCTGGTTCTTATTTCTTTGAACCAGTTCATAACAGCCCTAAATTTTATCTGCTTTCCTCAAACTGGGAGTCAGAAATCCCTTTTCTCTTCTGTTTTTCTGCTGCAGAAATTCCCAACATTCCCATTTTGTGGGCTCCAGAAAGGGGTAAGCAAAGACTTCAATCCCAGCCAATCATTTCCAGATTAATAATTTTAGTGTTTTGGTTTTTTGGTTGTTTTTTTTTTTTTTAAATCATCATAAAAGAAATGCTTGGACCCATTGTTTCCCATCTGTTTCATTTCCTTGTGGATTGTTATGTATCCATGTTCTAGGCTCATTCTGTATCCCTGGGCAATAGAGTTCAGATCCATCTGCTATTTCCATTTGTGTGCTGTTTTCTTGTGGATTCTCATATGCAGTTTATTAATTGCTATTTCTTAGATGGAAGACACCCAGTTCAGTGGATTGCTTCACTCTCAGTCTCATTTTTTTCTGAATGATGTTTTGTTCCCCTCCTGGCAGCTTGTCACTAGCCTGCACAACTGCTGATGACTTGTCACTGCTTCTCTGCTGCTATCTTCCTGTTTGACTGCCTTTGGTTTGTCTCTACTTTTTGCCCCATTTCATTTGCTGAATGATTTGCATTCCTCACTCACTGGTGCTTTGTCCTTCATCAAATGGCCTGGTACTGACATATCCATCTGCTGTTTCAGCATTTTAGACACCACAGCACTGCCCATCTGCTCTAACATTCTCCAGTATCATGGCCTACCAAGTACTGTGCCATCTGCCTGTCTGCTCTTGACCTGCCTAATTTGTGCCTGTAATATTATAAATAGATGAAGTTTATTTAGCATGTCTGCTATCTCCACTTGATTTGTACCCCTGAGTTGGACTGCTGACTGTGTTTGCTTGATTACTCTCTTTTTGACCTATTTGTTGCACTTGGCTGCCCCATTAATTTACCTGAGACATTGTATTCATCTTCTATATACTCAGCCTTGTAAATTGCTGATTGGCCTGTAGTGATTCCTTATAATTTTCTAGCATCTGATAAATCACTGGCATTGTTCCTCTGTTGTCTTGATATCAGATTTATTTCAAAGAAAAATTTAACCTACATGCTGTCCAAAAAAATCTTAAAGGAATGAAATGTTTCATTCACTATTGAATAGTCTAATCCACCCTTCTTAGCTCTTCTGTGCTCTTTTAAAATACAAATCAATGTTCTCTCCCATATTTGAGATTAGGTTGTTGTTATTTTTTAAACATGAATCATTCATCATCTTTGCTTTAGTTGTCTTTTACCATCATACATTGTGTAAGTTTAGTCCTTGTATATTAGATCTTTCAATAAATTTCCATAATTGAAATTTATGTCTCAATTTATTTTCCCAGGGCTTTATGAGAACATATCACTCTTATTATTTTATCCTTTTTAGTAAGACCAGAGAATGTTATGCAACTTAAAGTATCATCTGTAAAAATAATAAATACTGTTTTCTAACAGCCCCTTTATAATGTAAATTAGCTTTCCAATCTGCTCCTTTTTTTCCTTCTTTGCAAATATCATCTCCCAGTATCACATAATTTGTATCAGTTCTCTAGAGGTCCTTTTTATGTATTTATCTTCCCCTGCTTTTAAGTTCTCTTTTTTTACATATGAATAAACTTTAAAAATTGACAATTTTCCTTTATTTGCAAACTGCTTGCCATATAGAGAGAACTTGCTGAACAAAATTGTCTGCACTGCAAAGCCTATAGTCTTATTAATACGTCAATTCAAGAGAAGAGCAAATACAAGCTTTAGAGAAGAATTTTAATGCAACCTGAAGACAAATTCAGGGCTCTATGACAGAGGATATGTGTGCATGTGCTTAAATTTGAAATGTTTTATGTGTTTATGTATACACAGCATCATTATGCATGAAAGAAATAAAATTTAATTAGGTGCTTAATATCCTAATTAAATGTTATTTTTTCTAATAAAAAAAGAGGATTAGCTAGAAGAGCTAATGGAAAAGAGAATTACAAAGAGGAAATGGAATAAGTGTGACTACAGTGTGTGTATTATAATTAATGTTAAAAATAAAGTTTTATAACAGTATGAATGGTTAAATAAAATCCAATTTACTTTGTAAAATTTTACTCAAATCACAATTTTAAAAGATTTAAAAGAGAGGGAGAGGAAGATGCTTAATAGATTGATAAATTTAGGGCATATAAAAGGGCTTGGACAGAGGTGTCTTTTGATCATAGAGTTCAGGTTGGTCAGCAACAAAAAAGGCTGCTCTAGGAAACTCAAGAAAATAATTTCAGTAGCTTTTGATCATTTTTTCTGCCTAAAATAAAATTAATAACTGAGATCAGTGAAATGACTTAATTCATATAGACCATGGTTAAATTCAAGGTATTATATTAAGGGAAGAAGAAATTACACTACAGACGGCTAAGCAATATAATACAGAATAGCCTGCATGCTAAGAAGAAAATGGAGAATGAAGTTGAAATAATGTACATGTTGGATTTTTGAGTGACAGCAAATATGTTTCTAATAAAAGCTGAGGTTTTTAAGATAATCAACTTTGGAATATGATAACAGCATCTCTTTGAAAAGAAATAGAGGTATGAATTTGATTGGCAAAGTTTAAAGGTTATGGGATATTGAAAAGGCAACAACACTGTATGTTGTTGAACCAACAATGGGAGTAGGAGTTCATTCAGTTCAGTGGTACACAGCTTTGTATATAGAGAGATGTTTCTTAAAGGATTTTTAGGCCCATCCCTAGTTTAGTAGGTTGGGGGTATAGTCTACTTGGTAGATTTGTCTGTCTGTCTGTGTGTGTGTGTGTGTGTGTGTGTGTGTGTGTGTGAAAGAGAGGGAGAGAGAGAGAGAGAAGGAGAAGTCATATACATTGTGAATGGAATAAGACTTTTATCTGTCATTTTTTTTAAGCTAAACCAGAGTTACATAAGCTAAAAATAATTCATACTTTTCCTCTAGGAATATACAGCTGGAATAGTTAGATATATAATAATAATTTATTTAGAAAATAAGACTTTCAGTCCACTGTGGTAGTAGTGGTGGTGTAAGGTGCCGCTATTTTCAATTGTTAATTTAACAAATTTTTACTGATTTTCCATAGTCTATTCACCATTTCTAGGTGAAAGTTCCTCAGAAATCTACTGAAAAGAGAAAATAGATTTTAATAACAATGTTCTCACTTCTCCCAAGAATAATAATAATTAAAAAAAAACTCTCTTCATTGCCATCTGTTTGGTCCTGACTCATGGCTGACCTGCCAGCAAATTCACAAGGCTGTAAATTACACCAAAGGAGACTCTCCAACTTTTTTTTCCCACAGGGCAGCTGTTGGGTTGGAGACATGGCCTTCAGGTTAAAAGTCCAAGCCTCTGTGCACTACACAACCAGAACTCCCTCATACATAAACTATACTATTACTTATGCAAAAGTTGTTCACTCATCTACTGCTGTCAAGGCAAAACCAAAACTGTTAACTGGCATTTTATTGGGTTTTCAAGAGGCTGTAAATTGCATGGGATTTATCCATTCTACTGTCTAGGAACAGAGAATTGAAACCAAGTGAAAGGTACCGCTTGTGGGTTACAAAACCTTTTTTACTTACAAAAACAAACAAACAAACAAAAACCACAAAACCTCTTTTACTCTTACAAAACTTTAGGTTAGCAGCACAACTCACTGCAGACTGTGTCACCAGAGCTCCCTAGATGCATAAGAGAGAAATTCATTCCATACAATAATTCTCTCAAAACCTATTGAAAACGGCTGCCTGCATGTACTCACTCATTGTGGTGGTTTAAAGAAAAGGTGTGCCCTTCAAGAAGCTTTTAAAAAAATTAAAAAGGAGATTACATTCTAGGAGAGGGAAAGCTAGAGAAACAAATTAACATTTTCTGATAATACTCACAAAATGTTATTCTTTTCTTCTAATTAATTGAAGAAAATAAAGTTACATAGGTAATGTGTTAGAAAATCCCACCTTCTTTTAAACATAAATGATCCAAAAATAAGAATGTCTGATGTATAAAAGCATAAAAATAACTGAAAGAAGTTGATAGAATTTAAATCCACTAAGAATTTGTTGCATTTATTGCCTACATCGTTCAGTAGGAGGTAAGTTATTTCAGTCATAGCTATTAGGAAATAGCATTAGCTAAAACCTCTTTTTGTTTTCTAGAGGAAAATTAGCAAAATGGCTACCTATAGATAATCAGCATTTTTTAATGTAAGTACAGGCACAATGAGCTTTCCTCCACATCCCCAAGTACAGTTCTGGAATAATAAAGATACCATTCACGAACCTAATTTAACTTCACTACCTGCCCAAACTCACTTGAACTCCTTGTTGCAAAAGGTTCAGTCATGTTAACAAATTTATTTTTATTATGGACTTTACTAATTAGTCATCTGAACTAAGACTCTCTGTTGCCTGCATTGATGTATGCCTTCAAACTTCAAACTTAGTTTTCTGTAATTCTTGCTGCTCAATCTTTCACACTAGTTATTTTTAAAAGCATACTTAGGATAGGTTTCAGTAACTTATTTTTCTTTCCTTCTTCTGATGCCAGACTCACATTATTTCTTTGAATAGCACAGCTATGGGAAGATCAAGATTTTCATGGCAAGATAATTTTACTAAAATAGACATTTTACCCAGATTTAACTTGTTTTTTTTTTAACAGTAGTAAGTAATTTGACAAAGTTCTTGTTTCAATTTCATTTTTGAAGCATTTTAAAGCAAAAAATAAAAATGTTTTACAGATTTTTTTATATTTTTAAAGCTGTCTGGGATGAAATATTATATAAAAGTAACATTTTTTACAAAAACAAATTTAAAAAGTAACCTTTTACAAAATCTGTTTTAATAATAAGAGTAACAGTTACTAATCTTTGCTGGTTAATAATAAATATACCTTTTCCTTTTTGTGATCTGAAATCTTATTTTGAGAAAAGCTAAATTGAAAAAACAGTAGTATAATTTACCTTGTATGAAAAGTTAATATGAAAAGGTAATATCTCTACCTCACCCTGATGAGGCTTCAAATCCTTTTTATATTTAAGCTAAAAAATCCACTCTATTTTTTATAATCAGTAGACTGTCTATAGGCAACTGCTCGACAAC